TGGATTTTCGAAATTATTTCGTCAAAAAATAATTGAATATTTTTTTTCAATATCTTAAATGTCCATATGATTGCAAAATCTTCCAAAAATAATTTTTTTTAAGCGTGGAAAGTTGATCAGGAGTTCATATTCGATTTTTCTGCCGTGTGACTCTTTCATCCAAAAAAACTTTTCATTATCTTAATATTAAACTTTTTTGCTATCTTATAAAAAAATTTAAAAAAATATTTCTAAACAATAAAGCCTTTTTTTAAATTAGTCAGTTATTTTATGTTTAAAACTTTCAAAGTATATAAAATTAAGAATACGATTCACAATTGATTTCGGTACATGTTGATATGTTTTGTGTTATTTATATTATTATTTGCACGCTCTATACTACTCGTGTTTTAAAAAATTTACTTTGTTTGTCAAATTGGATGTCAATCTCATTACTTTTATCTTTATTTTCTTTTTCTATTAGTATTATTCGCAGTTCCTCTTTCATCTTACATTCGATTGTGTGGCATCCAAATCCGAAAATAGGCTCCTTTTTAATGTTTAAAGATTTTCGTTTTCTTTTGCTTGCGTAATTTTCTGAAAGTAAAATGCCGGACAAAATCTTTGCAGATTCTCCAGATAAAGGACTGCTTTCTTTATTCACAAAAGGTACAGCCATCAAAGATGAAAGTAAAATAAACGCAACAAAAAAAGATATTTGAATCTTCATTTTTCAAATGATTTCAATCGGTCAACAGGTTATCTAAATTAAAATATTACTTAAAGAAAAGTGATTTGATTGGTCGATCAATAAATATAATATAATGAAGATTGTTTTGTGTAATGATTTATGATTGAACAAAAAACATTCGACCACTCTGGTTGAATGTTTTTTATTTAATCAATGGCACTGGTTGTAAGCTAAATTGTTAAATAGAAACAATTTTTAAGTAGATGTTCGTAATATATTGCCTTTTAGTAAAAAAAAACATAAAAAAACATTAAAAAAACAATTTGTACAAACGTTTGTTATAACAACCCATACAATACTTAGAATCTTTTTGAAAATTATTTTTTTACTGCAACCGTTTTTCCAAAAACACTTTAGTTAAATATATATTTTATAAAAATCAGGAGAAATATTTCATCTTTACAATTACGTGTTTAATTAAAAATGTAGCCAAACAATAAACGTAATTTATCAATTATATATATATATATTCAATTTTTTTTCAGTTGTTTTTTATCAAATAAAAAAGACTTATTTTAAAAACAACTAAACTAAAGCAAAGCTGTTATCAAATGCCATGTGATGAGATGAATAAAAACATGATATTTGAAAAAATTTTCTTTGTTCACAGTTGTTCGATTTTGAGAAAGTTTAAACGCAAAAGTAGCAAGCAAAAGCGTAGCGGAATTTTTAAAAAACAAAATTTTATTAAAAAGCTCCGATAAATCTACAAACATAAAAATAAATAAATAAATATATATATATTAAGAGAAAAAAATCTTAAGTATGTTTGCAATATATATAAGTAACATTATGAGTCATATGTAAACACTACAAATGTTGTTAGGTCGTCACAGCTGTACTGCCCTAAATACCTTGCGTTTAAAAATTACTTTTTAAACATTTAAATGAGGAGTCTTGTAAATGTTTTTTCAGCCACTGTGCAAGTTTTTTATTGTCACGACTCAATGTTTTTTTGATAGTTTCTACTCTATTTTATATAATCTCTACTCTATTTTATATTGTCTCTACTCTATTTTTTTATATATAGTCTCTTCTCTATTTTATTTAGTCTCTACTCTATTTTATATAATCTCTACTCTATTTTATATTTTCTCTAATCTATTTTTTATATATAGTCTCTACTCTATTTTATATAGTCTCTACTCTATTCTATATAGTCTCTACTCTATTCTATATAGTCTCTACTCTTTTTTATATAGTCTCTACTCTATTTTATATAGTCTCTACTCTATTCTATATAGTCTCTACTCTATTCTATATAGTCTCTACTCTTTTTTATATAGTCTCTACTCTATTTTATATAGTCTCTACTCTATTCTATATAGTCTCTTCTCTATTTTATTTAGTCTCTACTCTATTTTATATAATCTCTACTCTATTTTATATTTTCTCTAATCTATTTTTTATATATAGTCTCTACTCTATTTTATATAGTCTCTACTCTTTTTTATATAGTCTCTACTCTATTTTATATAGTCTCTACTCTATTCTATATAGTCTCTACTCTATTTTATTTAGTCTTTACTCTATTTTATATAGGCTCTACTCTATTTTTTTTAATAAGTCTCTACTCTATTTTATATAGGCTCTACAATATATTTTTTTATATAGTCTCTACTCTATTTTATATAGTATCTATTCTACTTTTTTTATATAGTCTCTACTCTATTTTGTATAGCCCCTAGTCTATTTTTTTATATATATATATAGTCTCTACACTATTTATATATATATAGTCTCTACTCTTTTTTATATAGTCTCTACTCTGTTTTATATAGTCACTATTTGATGTTTTATCTATAGTCGTTGTACAATGTGTTTTTAAAATTGGTTGATTCAGTAGTGAATTTTAGTTGAGAATCAACTTCCAAGCATTGATTCCCAGGAATTTTTTATTATAAAATTTTAAAAAGTCTGGTATTGATATAATTTCTTCAAGACTAAACTAAACTTTGAACAACCTGAATTTGTAACATAGATGTTTAAACAATATGAGACAAACTTAATATATTTCAACTTTACAACAACCCTTGAAAAAGATCAATGTACCCTAATCAATAAACCTATGATGTACAATAATCTTTGAATTTATGCAATTTTAGCATCAAAGAATCTACATTTTTATCTAAATATATTTTGTTGATTGTTTTAGTCCTTTATATTGTTCTGTTTTGTTTTTTTATTTAGGAAAACTTTTTTTATTGACAGAGAAGATGAAGATTTATAGGATTTATAATTATGGATTTTTATCTGCATTAAATTAATTAAATTAAATTCATTTTCGATTCATTTAACATTGCTTTTAACAAATTTAGATTCTTTATTTATAGATATATTCAGAGTAATTTAAAATGGATTAAATGTTCATCAGTGTTAAAGATACATTTTTAAACACTGATGAACAAATATATATTTAATGTTTATATATTTTTAGGTTTCATTCAAAATTTTTGCTGAATATGGAACATATGTGTCATTTGCAAGAGCACTTGATTTTACTAGTGTCCGATCTAGTTTTAACATACCAATATTTATTTTGGTAGAATTGGAATCATATATTTTACAATATAAAACATAATGTATAGTATAGTAATATTAAATGTAAAGAGGTATCCTTTTGTACAGAGCATGAATACGAGCTCTGCTATTTGCAGTGTAAACTGATGCCCCTCCCCCCCCTCTGGTTGTCGGCCCTGTAAGCTAGTCATGAAATTGTACAATTTATGTAATAATCATTTTTTTTAATCTAAAAACCTATTTTAATGATTCTATAAATTTTTGCTAACGTTAGTAGAACAACATATGTTAAAATGATTGTTCCAATAACTCGCTTTAATATTGAAGACATAAGTGGATGAAGGATTTATGTTACTTTAATACGGAAATAATAAATATCTGAGAGATAACCAAAGTTCAATTTTTAGAAAACTTTTTGTTCTAGACATTTTTATATTGCAAAGATACGCAAATATTTATGGAGTAATATAATAATCAAAATAACATTTGTTAATTGATGAATGTATCAAGGTCTATTAGGACCTACATCCATTTTATGTGTTTTTAAGACCTATATCCATGTTTTTAATTTTTAGAACCTTCAGCCATGTTGTTTATTTTTGTAGGTAAATTGATGTGTAACTTAGCAATTCAAACAAGTTCTACTTGGTGCTAACGTGTCTAAATTAAGTAGCTGTTCACGATTTTCATAGCAGAATTGTTTTATAAATTAAATAACATTTGTAGCTTATCTCTGAATAAGTTTAGTGCGTTATATCGCCAATTTTGAATAACTATTACAGATTGGGGTTGCAAAGACTAAATATGGCTTTATATACACTGTAAATAAATGTAGATTTTTCACGCAAAAAATACAATTGACAGATCTCTTTAGTACATAAAAACTGTTCGTAAAATATTTTCGTAATTCTAATCCACAAATATTGGTGTTAAATAATACTTAAACACATAATCCGTTCAACGCTAATTGCATTGACTACACAAAAATTATTAAAAGTTGAATCACCTGCAATGACGCTCTAACTACTTATTTAGAACAGATCTTTCAAATGCGTCTTTTTCAACTTCTTCTCGCTTTAGAGCAGTTCAAGAAAGTTGATGATCACTTAGATTAAAAAGATGATCTTCAATACTTGTAACTGAATCATTTTTGGAAAAGTGTCACGTGTTTCTGACGTTTTCTGAGACAAATAAGAATATTGTTTTATTTGATGACGTATAAAAGATTTATGAAAATCTTTCACGAAGCTGTAAAGTAAAAAATATGGAAATTACTGTCAATGTAGTTAATTATAATATGGCAAGTAAAAGAAATTTTTCATGACAGAAAGTTGGCAAAAAGAAAAAAAGGAGCAAAAAAGTTTAAAATGGAAGGAAAATATTAAATGAAGAATTAAATGAAGAAATAATTAAATGAAGAAAAAATGAAGATGAAGAGTTATTAAAGTAAAAACTTAAAAAAAAAAAAAGTGAAGACAAAAAAAATTAAAAAAAGAAAGTTATGCATAAAATGGTTGACAATAAGGCTGATTAAAACAGATAATCATGTTGAATATTTTTTCCTTTTCAGTTAAAAAACCTCAGAATTTAATTCATAATAAGGTTACTAGTATTCCTGCTTTTTCAATTTACCTAAAAACGTTATTACTAAGTCCACCACGGCGTTTCTTTTTAATTGGGGGAATGAGATTTTTCTTTTGATTCCCAAAAAATAAAAGAAAACGTTGTCGAGTCATATAATAATAATATAAAGTTACAAATGTAATAATTATTTAAAACCATGGTTATATTATAAATCAGACGCAAAAGCAGATTTTATGATACACAATAAATGTCATTAGTATATACGATATGCGTGAAATACATGTGTTTCACACTTATTGTATATATTATTGTATATATTATATCTCGTATAAATTGCAATATCGTATATCGTATACTATATAGAAAACTGTTTTTAGTATATACGATAAGTGTCGATAACATACGATAATACTGGGAAACTGCGTTTTAATATAAACGATAAGGGTCAACAGCAAGCGGTAAGGCTGAAAACAGTGTTTTAAAAGTTCAATCAAAATTAGTACTTAAATGATTTTAATTTCAGAGCGAGGATAAGTTTAAACAAAAATATAAGATGTGTGGTTCTAAAAATTTCTATCCGGTTCTTTCCACTTTTTTTAGTAATCTAACATATTTTTTGTTGTAACTTTCCTTAAATACCTTTTTAACTTTTAAGTTTGAATCCTAGTTAATTATCAATTTAAAATTAAAAAAACAATTTTTTTAAAACAACTCTTTTTTTTATTTACATGTATTCATAGAAAAGTAAAAGCTCTTTTTTCTCTCGCTATTGGTCATATGTTTGCATAACATGTTTTTTTCTCTCGCTATTGGTCATATGTTTGCATAACATGTTTTAATAGTTTATTTATTCACATCCAACCATTTTATTTTCAAAATTTTAATTACTGACAATCACAAAAAAATCTTTTTAAAAATAGGCGTATTACATTGTTTGGTCAAACTATTCTAAAATCGAATTTTTTAATAAATATTTTAAAATCCTAGTTTTAATTTTATCATGTAATAAACTTTATCGGCATTGTAAAAATTTTATTGTAATAAATTGTAATTTATTACAATAAAAATAATTTATTGTAATAAATTGAAATTTATTACAATAAAATTTATTGTAAGACATTGTATCAATAGCTTAGCAAAGGGTCCGCTGGTTCAGCGGAGGGCGACAGAGTATTAGGGACCCAAGCCGACCAATGAAATTTTTAAAAATTTGTCACTGTGAAAAATAACACGCATATCAGCATTTAACAATTTGAACTATTATTGTGTAGCTAAGAAATGCAAACTCTTTTTCAGATTATTGTTTTAGCTTTAATAAATAATCTTGACTAATACTTCAAATAGTAAGCAGCTTTTTATTTATTTTTATTTAAAAAATCAAAATAAAACTTCATTAACTCTTAAATAGTAAAATAA